AGATATTGAGACACAATGAGCCAAAATAACTTGTCCTATATCACCCAGCAAATAAATATTGGTATTAGGCTTTGAATAAAATGCCTTGACTATACGAGTAAATTGACTTGATTAATCTCTGCAGAATACTATAACATATAATGTTTGTTAAGTGTATGAAGGTTATTTAGTTTTGAGAGGCAGTGTGGAGTACTGGTTAACTCAGTATTCAGGTCTTGAAGTAATAGACTTAAGTCCATTAAGATCTTTGTGCAAAACAGGGATAATGATAGAACTTATTTCATCTTGCCATGTGGTATATGGTAAAGGCTTTTTAAATAATAGTAATTATTATTATAATATAATAACTTGTAAAAAAATTATAGCATCATCTATAATAGCATAACTCTCAAAGTCTGAGTTTATCAAAAATATAAAGCTGTGACTCTGCCATAGATATCCACTTCAAAGTAAAAATGTCTCCATATAAATTGTCCATAATAAAAAATTTTAAGTCATCACATTTTTGTTTAATTCAGTTTCTCAAGCTAACTATGGCAAACAGCATGTAACTTTTAAAATACAATCTCAGACTACTGTTTTAGTTCCGCATTGGCAAAAGGAAACTTCCTTAAAAAAATGTCTATTTAAGTATGTTTTAAATCATCCATTTTGGAACTATCACAGACACAGACAATTCAAATACGTATAATTAAGACTGAGAAACTGCATGAATCTTTTGACTGTTCTCCCCCTTCCACCACTAGATTTTTCTTTCTTGCTATTTCTTTTTTTTTTTAAGGTTTTTTTATTGGGGAATTGGGGGAGGGGAACAGCGCTGGGGAATCGGGGGGAGGGGAACAGACAAGTTGCTGTTGTTTTGTTCTTCAGTCTAGTTGCGGAGGATGTTGTTTCACTGGCCCAAGCTGGCACCATCATTGCACTCTTCCTGGGAGAGGCAGGTCAGTGGCCAGCTTCTGGACTGCTGCTCACTGCAGCTGCTGGCTGCTCACACCGGCCGCCGGCTTCACATGGTAGCTTATGGCAGCCCACTGCAGCAGGGGACTGCAGCCTATGCCGTCACCAGCCCAGCTCCAGGTTGAGCTTTTGTTCATCATCTTAGCTGTAGAGGGCAGTGTCACTGGCCCTCATATATGGGATCCAGACTGGGGCCCTCTGGCATCCCAAGCCAGTTCTTAACCAATGCACCACTCGACCGGCCCCTTTCTTGCTATTTCTAAAACTTAGATTAAAATCTTAACCAAGCACTCACCCTTCAAAAATATTTACTCAACTAAGCCAACTATTGGGTTGCTGGAAAAGTCATGACGCATGTTTGCGACAGATGGCACTAGTTTATTTTTGGAAGTACTAGAGTCATTCGCATTTATGTGATTGCCATGTCATTTGACAGCTGACAGTTCTAGCTTCATTCTTAAAAAAAAAAATTGAGCGATTTGATTGAGTTTTGGAGATTTTACAATAAGTTGAAGATGGAAGACCAAGCTATGCATTTTTGCCATATTTTACAGTTTTACATCCATAAAGGGAAGAACGCCCGTCAAGCTTGTGAAAAGTTGCATAAAGTTTACGGTGACAATGTTCTACAAGAACATCAGTGCCAATGATGGTTCACTAAATTCCGTGCTGATGATTTTGATCTCAACGATGCTCCTAGGTCAGGGAGGCTCATCAAGGTTGAAGACAACAAAATAAAGGCATTGATGGAGTCAAACCTATGTTACACGACACAAGAGATTGCAGAAACTGAACATCCATCATTCAAGCGTTCACAATCACCTGAGGAAGCTGATATACATAAGCAAGCTTGATATTTGGGTTCCACATGAACTCAAAGAAGTTCATTTGATGGCACATATAAACATCTGCAATATGCTCATTAAATGTGAGGAAAGTGATCCTTTTTTGAAGCGACGGATAACTGGCAATGAGAAGTGGATTGTTTACAACAATGTGGTGTGCAAACAGTCTTGGTCCCAATGTGATGATTCGCCTCAAACAACATCAAAAGCAGACACTCATCAGAGGAAGGTTATGCTCTCAATGTATGGGATTTTAAAGGTGTCCTGTTTTTCGAGCTCCTACCAAGGAACTAAACAATCAATTCAAATGTGTACTGTCGGCAATTGGACAGTTTGAACAAATCCATCATCCAGAAACGTCCAGAGTTTGTTAATTATAAAGGAGTTGTGTTCCATCGCGACAACGCGAGACCACACACAAGTTTGATCACCCGTCAAAAATTATTGGAGGTTGGATGGGATGTGTAACCACACCCAACATACTCGTCTGACCTTGTGCCGTCAGACTTCCACTTGTTTCGCTCTCTTCAAAACTCCTTGTGTGGTATAATGTTCAATTCAAGTGAAGCTGTACATCAGCACCTTGTTCAGTTTTTCACAAATAAAGACAGGTCCTTCTATGAACAAGGAATTATAAAGCTCGCTGAAAGATGGCAAAAGGTTATGGAACAAAATGGGCAATATATAATTGGTCTTTGTTCTTTAAATAAATAAATGACCTTTGAAAAACATAGACAAAATACATTATGACTTTTCTGACAACCCAATACATAAATGGGAGAAATAATACATAGGATCAGTTATGTAGAAATGCCCAAGTGTAAAAGAGTAATTCAATTTCATTACTTCAACTGAAAAAAGAATAAAAACATGAAGCCCACAAGATATAGCCCAGTGGTTCAAATAATCAAGCTATATATTTGAGATACTCTATACATAACTGGTCATGGTACACTGTGTGTGGAATTTAGCAATATTTATTTAATAACAACTTCTAACTTTAAATCTAGGTGTTTTTTCCCAAAAAGTTCTCTCTATAAGAGTTCAATATAAAAATAATCTGATTTTTTAACTTCCCATATAATGTGTTTAAGTTTTAGATAAAATAGGAAATATGGTGACAATAACACATAACAAAAGATAACCCATTAAAATTACTTGAAATAGAACAACTTGAGCTTTTTCTTTAAAATAAAAGGGCAATGGTGAACCACAAGCTCCAGATTATTTTACTGAGACAAAAGAACATTATGGTTCATATATATGTTATGTTTCCTCTGGAGACACCAAATATTGAATGGGTCAAAGATCCTCATAAATGGAAAAAAAAAAAACATTGAGAAAAAGGTTGCCAAATTGGCAATGACAATTTTTCTTTGTTTTTAAAAAAAACAACCCAGAAGTTTGTATCTTCCAACTAGTGTTCCCCTTATTACCACTGGAAATCCATTGAAACATATATAAGAGTTCAGGTTTCTTGTTCTTTCCCTTCATTTGTCATCTTTTGAAAATTAACTGGCAGCAGACATTTTGACCAGCAAAATAATCAGCTCTTTAAAGGATCCTCACAAAGGTAGGTACACGGAAATATGAACTGAAAAATTTTTACTTTGAATACTAATTTTTCTGACTTTTAAAGATATAATTTTCGTGGGTTTTTTATAGAGGATTTTCACTAAAAGAATAATATGTGCCTTACATGAAATATGGTAAGCCATGAAATGCATTAAGTCTTGTGAAATTCTATATGTCAGGAAAAGCATTCACATTGGGCACTTGGGAAATAAATCCATCCAATTACACAATTAACTTTTCTCCCTGATGTATGTTAACATTTTTGTGCTTTATAATAGCCAGAACACTTATCAAATGTACTCTGAGAAAACTGTTCTACAGTACATTTTTATCATTAGTTTTACCTTTGGTTTTTTTAACTTTTAAACTGTCATAGGATATGTGATACCTAAAAAAATAACCATATGCACATATAATTGAATATTCAGTGCAATTTGTCCCTAAGATTCTTTTAAGACCTGGATTGTTCAGACAATACACTCAACTCATGTGTAGAGTTGACTATCAGAAAACCAGTCTGCACAAAGATGCATGCATTGCTTTCCCAAAACTTGGAATATATTGTAAATTTTAAGCCAATTAAGAGTAAAAGATCTGACCATCTCTTTTTTCTCTGCCTTGGTTTTTGATGTACATTATGTGGATTATTGGAAGTAGTTCGAGGCCATTCATCATGGAATAAAATAACTTAGTAAAATGTTGTTAAAACTAGGATATATGTATTATGTGACGATCATTCTTTAAACGACAGTTGATCCTTGAACAATGTGTGGGTTGGGAGCACCTAACCCCTGCAGTCAAAAATCTGAGTATAACTGCTGACTCACAAGCCAACCCTTGGTATCTGCAGGGGAATTGGTTCCAGGAATTCGTGGATACCAAAATATGCAGACCCTCAAGTCCCTTATATGTAATATAATGGTGTAGAGCAACGCTAACAGTTCACCCTCAGGACCTGCGGATTCCCAGATGAAGGATCAAAAACACTGTTCTCAATCTGCAGCTGGTTGAATCTGCGGTTGTAAAACCCAGGGATATAGAAGACTTACTTCATATTTACTAAAAAAAATCCATAATTAGTGGCCCTTAACAATTCAAACCAGTGTTGTTCAAGAGTCAACTGTACTTTGAAATGGACACTTATTTGGATTGAATATCTTGGTATTTTTAAATAGTGATTATATTAAGTATTCTACAGATCTATATTTGAGATATTAATGTTATAACTAGATCATATGTTTTAAATTTCATTTCTTGGGACATCTCAAAAAATAAGAAAAGAAAAAGAATCAGCCTACTAGATATAGTTGTTACTTCTAAAAGCAAAAACCTTACTCATAAAAGCTTCTATTTCATAAAACACTTTATGAACAACTCTTTGCCATTATCTCCAGTGCAATTTTACAAGTAAAAGTAAAAACTAATTCCATCATTTCATAGTTAAATGTCATAAGCCTAACAATATTTCTCCATATTAATACTGAGTCCAAAATTATATTAAGCAAATTTCTTGCAATGCTACAATACTATTCCTGCATTACATCATATATCAGTGGTTGGGACACCTTCAAGAAAAAGAATGCTGATCGGCCATTATGCTTATTTTCAGGGGTAACCATAAGGATGAAACCCATATGCTTAATCTTGGGCCTTTTGGCACTTGTAGCATGTTTCTCGGTAAGTCTCATTAATCACATCTGCATATTTTTCTCACAACTATTAGTTCATGTTTTTTGCATTAATAATGTTACCCTTTTTTACCTATCAGTAGCTATCAATCATTGATGAAACCATATTGAACCATTTAAATCTATATCAGACTGCATTTTACAGACATGTATAAATTGGGTATGTATACATTAGCTATTTCACAAATAGGTAAATAAATGTATTGCAAATTTTTGATCCAATGTATTTAAAGATATTTGAATATCATTGAACATATTATTTAATTATACTGGGACTCTTATTTCCTCATCCATATAATAAAATAGTTAACATATAATAGTTTTTCTCAAAATAGGATTTATGGATCATCTATATCAAAGTAACCTGACTCACTTATTAAAAATATAGTGTGTCAAGCCTCATCCCAGAATGAATGAGTGTCTGAGAATAGGACCCAGGAATATGCATTTGCCAAGGATTCAGGCAACATTTGAAAAACTATAAACATTTATATCAACACTTACCATGCGTAAAGGAGTGGGTTAAGCACCAGAGAAGCTACTAAATATTCAAAGTTTCAAGAGATAAAACAAAGCCACAAGTTTTTGTGTTTTAAGTAGTGGAATAATAATAAATTTCAAGTTAGGGATAGATTAATTCCAGTGTGCGGAAAAGGAGATTAATTCCAGAGTAATTTCTACCAAACAGCTGTAAAATCTATTATGTCAACTGGAAAAAGATGGAAGCTCTTTTTCAGAAGAAGATGAGGGCTTCCACAGAGCAGGCAACATTAAATTATACCATTCTAAAATATGAAATAATGCTCCTTCCATCTACTCTCAGAAATTTGAATAAAAGCAGGCTATTAATAGGTCGCTCAGGTAGTCTGACCTTGGCAATATTACTATTGCATTATAGATGTGACATGAAACCAATAAAACACATTGGCATGTATAAAAGTTCACGTTACTTCTTACTTATCTGATCTTAAAGCTGATTTTCAATATTTTCCCTGAGAATATAAGAAAAGAATGCTTTCTTATTTTAAAGAATCTGACTTTGACTATCTAAACAATGAATTTTTTGCAAAACAAATTTGAGAGTTCCAATAATACAAGCAGTTTAGCATGAGCCCTTCAAATAGAAATAAGCCTTTTCCCAACTTAATTCTATGAGATTTGTGATAATTAATAATATGGGCAGAGTAAGTAGTAATATTGATCCAGTCGTCTTTTGAGTGTTCATTCTGTTATTGGTAATTTTCTAAATGCTTTACAGCCTTATTTTACTTAATCGTCAAAAAAAGCCTGAGAAAGGGACTACTATTAAGCTCCAAATATAAATAAATTTAGATTTTAAGTATCCATGTTTTACCTGGATTGTTCCTAAATCAAGTTATGCAGGAGATTAGCTCTAATCATAGCCCATTGAGAGGGTAAATTTTCATTCTAACATAGAATTTTCAAATTTTACCAAGTTCATCACATTTCTTCAGTCGTGAATAGGAAGCTAATCACTGTAGATGGGTTAAGAGATTAAGAAAAGAACAGACTATTGTCTATGAAGATTTTTTTTCATTAGATATAACTATTAGGTCGCTATCAGGATATCTGTAGGAGACAAGGGTACCTTCAGCTAATTCTGCGTCTCAGCAATGAAAACGATGTGAAATATTTTCCTACATTAATGATTTCTTTTCTTGACAATTTAAAATCAAATCCTGAACTTTTCAAACACCCTAACTAGTCTTTGGATTGTCAGCCCTTGGGTCAAATGCCCTCCATAATTCAATAACTTATCACTAACTAGAGAGGGCAGACATGACAACTAGTTCTACAGAAGTGCCTTGGCATTTTTTGTTTCACTGGTGACACAAAGAAAAGAGTTTTGCTGTCACACTGGGGTCATAAGCCAGGTTGAAGAGTGAATAGGATATGAGAAGTGGGGCTAGTCTCAGCAACCTAGACTACCCTTTCAGAGAGCTTTGCTATAAAAGAAAGAGGTGAAGAGAGGGTGATAACAAGGGAACACATGGTTGAAAGTGGACCTTGTTTAATAAGGTAAATGTAACATATGTGACAGTTATTTTCTGGGAAAAACAAGCCGGTTAAAAGGCATGTGAGGAAGTGCAGGAAGAAAAGGAGAAAATTGCCAGAGCACTGAGAAAACACTCATAAAGGAAAAGGAAATATCCAAATATCGATGACTTTACAGTGTGTGGCCGGTAAATCAGTGAAGCTCATTTCTAATTTTTTACATTACTTTAGAGAAATAGGAGGAAAGTCATTTTGGTGGGGTGGATGAGGGCTCAGGAAGACACAGAGAACTTTAATGAAATTGCCATCAACTTGGAAAACTATAGTTTTCTAGGAAATTGAGTAGAGTAAATCTAAGGCCCTTGAAAGGATTGCAGGGCAGTGCTGACGGACCATAATTTCTGATGGAACAGTTTTGGCATCTGCCACAACTAGTTAAGGGCCTGCAAGTAGGAATCAAGGAGAGGGATGATTTAGGGAAATTCTAACAGTTTGAAATTGGCAAGTACCAGACAAATAGATCAAGGGCCTGAGATGGCAAAAAGGGAATATATTTGTGTCCTACATAAACCTTCAGGCAAGCAGAACTTGTGCTTTCTGAACCTGGAACATTCACATAAGTTCCCTCCATTTGTCAATGCCCTCTCCACATTTTGTATTACTTACCCCTCCTATCAAAGGCTACCTTCTCAGCGAGACAATCCTTAATGTTTCCTCTTTCCAAAACTAATCACTCTAAATCACTAATGTATTTGTTTCCTGCACTATTTTTCAGCTATTTTTATTTCTAAAAATTGTACTTCCAAAAATTGCAACCACTATCCTCGATCTTAACATAATAAACAGTAGCATATAACATTTATTGAGCACTATACCTGAGCTAAGCGCTGCCCTGAGCACTTTACAGATAATATTTTAAAATAAATTTGACAGTGATCCTAGAACATAAGTACTCTTTCAAACGTCATTTTCCAGATGAGGAAAGAGAGTCTCAGAAAGAATTCCACATTCACACAATGTCTAAGTAGCAGAGACAGACTTCAAAAACCAGCAGGAGACTTCAGAAACCATCACTCTGCCACCCATTCGGCCATTTTTGTACTGTTTTGTATTGTAGCTTCTTGGTCTGTAGACTCACAAAAGGCATGTTTGTAGCCCACAGGTCTTGCTTCAGTGTATTACATAAAGTAAGTAGGTGCTCAATAACATGTTTTACAATATTAGTTTTCAAAGCCTGGAACAATCCTGAACTCTTGAATAAGATATAGAGAGACATTTTCCCCATTTGGAATTGATTCCAGTGACAGTCTCTGTTACAAGGAAAGGATATGATTTTACCCAAAATCTTTTATTTTTCCATTCTGTACTATTTCAGTTTCATTGAGGGCCTAGGCATTTAGAGGGCAAAAGACAAACTTTTCCTTTTCTCTGATAAAGACTTTTAGACTGTGTTACTTAGATACATATAATAGTTTTCTCTTGCTGCAAAACAAATTACCACAACTTAGCAGCTTTAAAAATATCCATTTATTATCTCACAGTTTCTTTGGTCAGAATTCTGGCTTTGGTTTGGTTGTATTCTCTGTTTAGGGTCACCAGGCTGAAAAAATTTTGCTAGGACTGTGTTCCTTTCTGGAGCCCAAGAGACTCTTTCAAGCTTGCATGGTTTTCGGCAGAATTGGGTCCCTTGTTTGTAAGACTTAAGGTCCTTATTTTTTTGCTGGTTTGAGCCAGGGGCCATTCCCAGCTTCGAATACCCATCTACTGTTTACTTCCCACAACATGGCTCTTTGCTTCAAAGCCAATAGGACAGCATTTGCTGCAGCTTCAAATCTCTCTGAGTTCTTCTGTCTCTGACCTGTAGAATCTATTTTAAAAGGCTCACCTGGTAATTTCAGACCAGTATGTGCCAATGGGAAGCAGGAATCTTGGGAGCCACCTTAGAATTCCACCTGCCACAGAGAGTATACATTCTTGTGCTTTAATTTAATTTAACATTGTTTATTTCTCTTTTCCCACAGCCTGGTGAGAGTCAGAGAGGCCCCAGGGGACCATATCCACCTCTTCCTCCTCAGCCTTTACCTTGGGACCCAAGATTTGTTCCACCTCCTCCTCCTCCCCCTTATGGCCCAGGAAGAATTCCACCCCCTCCTCCTTTTCCAAACCCTTATGGCCCAGGGAGAATTCCACCCCCTCCTCCTTTTCCAAACCCTTACGGTCCAGGGAGAATTCCACCCCCGCCTCCTTTCCCAAACCCTTATGGCCCAGGGAGAGTTCCACCACCACCTCCTCCTTTCCCTTATGACCCAGATTATCCATATCCACCCTTCCAACCAAGACCTAATCCAATTGGACCTGAAGAGGAACAGTACCCTCCATATTATCTTTCCTCCCTTACCACTGCACCCCAAAGACAAGCTACTACAACAAGCACCACTATGACCACGAAAAACCCCACCACCACCAAAACAGACTCCACCAGCCCAACAACTACTGCTTCTACTACTCAAGAAAAAACCACTGCTTCTACTAAAAAGGGCTTTTTTGATAAAGTCATTTCAATTGTGGGATGAGAATGAGATATTGCAAAATCTCTGATCTTTGGGGAGAAATAATCTTAGAAAGAAACTGAAACAACCCACACAAATCTTATGCAAAGTAAAAATAAAAAGTTGAGCAACAACATGAAATCTCCTGAGTTGTCATGAGAGCCACCAGTTGGACCCCAGGTATGCCAACCCAAATGAAGATTAGTGCTGTCAGAAGCCTGGCCTTGTACCTTGAGACCAAAGATGTAATTAGGAAAAAATACAGTGAGATGCCTGAACTTGTCGGGTGATGAAGCTAGAAGAGTAGGCAATAGGATGCCCTCTTGAGTACCACAACCCGTCATACAATACAGAACATGAAATACCATGTTAATAAGTATTAAAATTAAGCTCTCCCACAGCACGCCCCCTGAAAAATTCCTGAGGACCACCTGATCATTACTCATAAATTGGCTTTAATATGAGCTGTTCAGGAGCAGGAATGCCTTTCTGGTAAATCTAAATATCTAAGTGTAATATGAAGCACAAATCTTAGAATTTGATATGAAAAATCATTGTGTAAGCTAAAGAAGAGATAGATGATGGCTTCAGATATCAATATTAAGAGGCTGATGGCTGAGATTTCCAATTTTCCATGGCTTCCAACTGTTAGTTAAGGTTTTAATCAAAATTATTATGACTATTTTAGAAATGGCCTCATGTTATGATAGCTATAGTTTTCTAACATTTTAGATTGTTGAAGTATAGCACCACATTTTTATTGCAGGACACTTAACTACCCACATTGTGAAACATTTATGACTCAAAACTCCTTAAAGATACCTAAAGTAAGTCCAAATGTGTTCATGTGTGCTTAATGCTATATTTAATTCCAATACTTGTTGAGAATCTACCATGACACAAGGACTGTTGTTCTAGTATTTGACCAATCAGCAATTATGAAGACAGTCAAAGTCACTGCCTTCACTGAGCTTACCTTCTAGTGTGATAAAAAAGTAGATACATGTAAATATAATTTAAGAAGTGGGATTGCTTTGAAAAATAATAAGGAAATGTAAAAAGA